TAATTTTTTTCTCCTCATCACAAGAAACATTTTGCAAATGATTTGGTCATAATTCCTGAAAACAAGAACAATGAAAATTCAAATATATCAAACATAACGTGTATTATATATTTTATAGTCACAGTCATTTGAGACAAATGCTGGTAGCCCAAAGTTACTGGTGAAGAACAGAACTGCCCACAGCACAGGATAAAATATTTCTGAAGACAGCATCATACTCTCCCACAACACTGCAAGCGGCAGCATAGTATATTACTATCAACATATTACTACCGCATTCCTGCCCCTGCTGAGCACGGGGCCATTCTCAGCAACAGAGCTAACATGGAGCAGAGAGAAGCAGGTGGTGAGAGCAATCAGGCCTCTCATTTGCTGTGTTCTCATGATTTTTAACCTTTAGATACCAGCCATTAGACACTGTGCTGTCTTGCCCAAGTCAAATCTGACTGCAGGAGACTAAGGATGCATCTTCACAGCAGGGCTAGGAGGTAGAACTCATGACAATGCTAGAAAGACCGCCATGGGGCAGCCACATTGCAGAGCTCTAATCCTCAAATGAAACCTTAAAATATCTGTCAAGAAACCAAATAGAGAACCCTGAAGCAGTCACCAAATAGGATTCATAAATGATATACAGAGAATTCTACAGTACATTAACAAACTCCCCTTCCCCCCCCCCATTCCTAAAATATTCCAACACACAACACTCTCACTAAGCAAACTCACAGCCAGCAGGTCCTGTGAACTTGCAGAGAACATTCAGGAACTACAAAGGTCTAGCTGACAACAGAGAGATCAGGCTTTTCCAGTGCTATCTGAATTTACTATTTAGAAGGACAACTACACATCCTCTTAAGCATCCAATCAATATGCTGCAGAAGCTAAAAAGAAAGACAGTACTATCAGCTTTTATAACAGAGTCCAGGAATAGATGGACTAAAAGGCAGGAAAAATAAAAATTCAGTAAGGGCATTCCAACCCCATAAAATAGAAAACTCACAAACACAAAAACAAACATTTCTTCAGGGACCCGAGAGCTGAAGTTGTCCTTTGGCACCTTCGACAGGAAGTTCTCTGTGTTTTCCAGGAGGTGGGACAAAGTAGGTCTTGGCTCACTGAGCCACACATTCTAATAGGTCGGCCTCAGAAATGAGTATTTACACACTACACAGTGCGCTGAATGGGGCCAGTCACACCGCCAAATCTAATCTTCACTTGCATGATAAGCAATTTGTCCTTCAAAATCAAAATGAGCAGGCGCAGGGGTTTCTGTCTGACACATTCATCTGTGTTCCTATGCAGAGCTGATGCCCTGCCCTCATCAATGCCTTATTTGAGTGGCATGGTGCTAGCTCAGCCCTGCCCACCCCATAACAGGACAATGGCGGCCAGGGGCTAACCTGCCGCTGGCTGAGATGTCTCCAGAAGCTTTAAATGTACAGCAGTCATATTTTAAAGCAGGATTTAAAAAACATGCTCCACCAAAATCGGATTGTTCTAGATTTGAAAGGTTTTATTGGGCTTTATGGGATTATGTAAGTCTTCAATATTTTAAGTTATAATGAGAATATACAATTTTCTTTTTCTTCATCTAGCCTAGAATCATAGCCAATCTATAATGGCAAAAGAAGGTCTCAGCATTTAACAAACAGAATTTAGTCTGATATGTGTCTTTAACCTTGAAAAAGAGCAACAACTGAGATAAATATTACTATACTTTCCCCAAATTCCTGCTCTTTTGATTGAGACAGTTACATGTTTATTATTACTATATTACCTTTGCCTTAAATAAAAAAATCTACAAGTCAGGTTAATACCAATTGTAGCTATTATAAGGCCTAATTGACTAGAAATAGAAAAAGCTACAAGTTTTTTATGTCACTTTGGGTTATTCCTTTACCAATTACCATTTAAAATCTTGTCTTTATAATAATTCCCAAAGATTATTCAGCACATAAATGATTTATGATTTTTAAAAGTTGAGCAGCCCTGTTTTAAGTAATCTTCTTAAAATGAGACCTATTCACAATTCATTTAGATTTAGCCAAAAATCTGCTAGTCACACTATCAATACTGCCTTAAAAATGAGGGTCACATATAGTCCTTGGAAACAAGATGTTTGTAAATAAAAAAAAAAAAAAATGGGATTGTTTTGCGGTATCTTTGTGAATATATTTTCTGGTTCCTTCCACATTGAGCAAGACGGGGTATAAACTTCTCAAACTTCAAAATTCTATAGTTGCTGCCTCTCTAAAAAAATACGAAACACAATAAACAGCAAACTTGACATAAGTATCCAAAAATCATAGACAAGCTTATTCTTCAATGGACAATTGTAACATTTACTACAAAGTATTCTTATAACTGTGATTTTTAGATCTTGGGTTGAAAGTGGTCAGTCAGGTATGGCACATATAGAAGATGGAAAATACATTAGTTAAACAGATAGGAGAAAAGGACTTCTTTATAAAACCAACAGCCCCAAACAATTCAGCCCCACGCAAACAGTCTACTTGCTGTACTGGCTCAAGAGTTGTTTTTCTAACATATTTATCAATTGTTTTACAGACTCTAGTAACCTATCTCATCTAAAGCTACATGATGTTCTTATCAAATATAGTGAACAGTAGACAAAACAATCCAACAAGTTAACTGCCAGCCTACTTGTATCTATGAAAGTACAATTTATGAAAAGAAAATTTCCTCTGTGCAAAGGCTGGATCTAAAGATAAAATATAGTTGGCAACATAGCTAAAAACACCACTTACTGACGTCTGCATATTTGATTAATGGTTAAACATAGTGATTAACAAAATCAAGAGTAGGAGCTGGAAAAGAGAATATCTTCTTCCCACAAAGAATCTGTTTGGACACTGAAACAATAGTGTAACTGCTTTTATTTCAGTCCATGGGCATATTATTGCTATTTAGAAATATAAGAGGAATATAATATTGCTCAGCATGTAGTTAAAGAAAGTAAAGAATAAAAGAAGTCATCCTAACACAACTTGCTTCTTATAAAAGAAAAAAATTTAATTATCACTACTTGAAGGCTCTTAGGCTTCTTTTTATCTTTCTAGAGCTTTAATGCTACTCACGAATGTCTTTCATCTCATTTGCTCTCCTTTGACTGATGGCATTGGAGAGCTTTTCTAATAACACACAGTGACATTACAGCCACTCTATTTGCTGATAGAGGAAAAGTGTTTTTCTACTTGCTGGAGTATGATACATAACACATCAAACAAATACAAATAAACATACACCGAAGCTAATATTGGGGAGTTATGGATATTCCTGTAAGTCTTTCAGGACAACACACTGCTGACTGCTAACTGTATCTAACTCTCTGAAACTTCAAAATTCTATTTTGCCACAAAGTGAGCTACATGGTGACAGCTGCCAGGCCCTCTGCTCAGAACCTTGTGCCTCTGCAGGACAGTCCAAGCTAAAGGTCACCGGGGGCCCAAGACAGACTGTGCTTCCTTTTGAAGCTTGAACATTTTAGACCTCCCAGTGCTTAGGCATTCTGTGCATGCTCTCCACATCATGGATAGTCCCTTGAGGAGGAAGCACCAGGCTCTTTTATCAGCTTTATTTGGCTAATGATCTATGGGTTATTTTTAATGTGTGCTTTGGAACATCCATGTCCAAAATGGTGGCAGGATCAATTTGTGAGCCTTCAAAGTCTGTGGCTTTAGACTTTCACAAACCTTTAGATCTTCTAGAGATTTACTCCACAAAGTTGTTTTTTTTTTTTTTTTTAATAGCAAAAGATCATGGGCAGGTTCACTGAAGAAAGATATCTTAAGGAGAGCCATAGAAGGTAGAAGTGAAGTTACTTTAAAAAGGGAGGGAAAGGGGTAGTTAGAGAGTGACAGAGGTTTGGGAAAATAAAAACTACCATCAGCAGTCACATTTTACTGAGTTCTGTTGTCCCAATCTCTGTGCTTTCCACAGATGATCATTCAGGATTCATCATGACTAATATTCACAGCTTAAAGACGAGGGGAGGAGAGATGTTTGGAGAAGTTAAGTGGCTCTGCCCAGCTCACAGGCTGAACCAAGCCAAGTACTGATTGGCACTGCTACAGCTTGAATCCAAATTTGCAGAGGTACAGAAGTGGGCCAGAGTCCCAACAACCCTTAAAAACTGACATTCTGAAAAGAGGAAGACCTAGAGAAGACGGGTGTTAGATTTCTGGAAATGAGTACAGGAATAACCTGAACATAACTAAGACCACAGTTCTGCCGAAAGACACAGGGCCAAGATTGTGACACTGTCACAATTCTGTCACTTGCATACAACAATCAAGGTACATAATGACCAGGTGATTCATGTGAGAGGCACCACTGCAGGTTGTCATTATAAGCTCCTGTCGTGAACCCTCCCGCGTTGCTGTCTGCATTGAGATTTCAGTGGATACAAGTAACATTCTTGTTATTATTATTATTTGTGTGCCAAAATAATGCTCTTTCTATCACTACTATCTTTAGAATCTATGCACTGTTCCTTGGTGGAAGTTTTGTCCTAAACTTTCTTCTCTCTTGCTTATTTTCCCACACAACTATAGCAATTAAATATTTTTTGACTTTAAAAAAGAAATGTTGGCTTTAATGTGTTGAATATTTAATATAATTCAACAGTTCTGAATGTCATTTCTTGAATTCCTCCTAAGGAAAAACAACTACTTTTTATATGATGCTAAACCAGTGATTAGGTCTGTTGCCATGCACACAGCATTTAGACTGCATCTAGAAGAAACTTTCCTCAGTCTGGATAATGTCAAGGACATTTGATGACCATGTCAGAACAATCAAACTCTCCCCTTTATATGTCAAAGTGACTCACTAAAGATGCCAGAAGAATAAGATTAGAAAAATATTTATTGCTCTGTTGAATGTGGGTAAAAAACTTTCTTTGCTGGTCAGGTCACCAAAATTATTTGTTTTAATTTATGACAGTTTTTAGAAGGTAGACAGAAAGAACAGTTACTCACATTCTCCTTGTCAGGAATCCCTAAAAGAAGATAAAGACAGAAAGAAAAAAAGACCATGAGTTGCAAGATCCACCTGTACATGAAACTGAAATCTTTTGCTAAATCAAACCAAGCAAAATTTTGATATTTTCAGTTTGTATTTCATACAGTCTTATAGTAATGCTGTTTAGAAAAAAAACACAACCTACAAAAATCTTTGAATAAATAAATTGATGAATCAGGAATAGGACTGTGCCAGACAACAAAATCTCATGCTTATTTTGCTTTTCTACCATATTTTTCTTCTCCAAAGGTAAAAAACCATACTTGATTCCTTTATGCCAACATCTCTATCCTAGGACACAGAACCCTCAGGATGCTGGACAGATACATGAACTCTGAAGCACACGTGTTACTTTTACATTGCAAACCAGGGATTTGACTCCAGTGGCAGTTTGCACATAAGAATCACCACTTTGAGCAAAGACATCTCCTACTGCCTCTTTGTCAGTCTGAGCACAGCAGTGGCTGTTTTCACAGGGAGCTCAGATTTCTTAGCGAAAAGGTTCATCATGGTCCACTCGCTTACTTATTCATTCATTTACAGATATGTCATGAGCATCTACTAGGCAGGTCAGGGTCCTTCATACTTCCTTTGAAGCTGCAACTGTGACTGCCAAGGTAGAGGTCATACCGGAATGTTCACAGCCCCAGCAGGGTTTACTAGCCCATATGGTGGGTACAAGTAGACATATACCAAGGAGACTAGACCCCAGGTGGCTTTGTGTGTGGTTGCATCTAGGTTCAGACCGCTAGACAGAGAGAAGGTTTGTAGTGTAAAAATATAGCATGTCAAAATTCTGAGTAAATAGCATCTTCTTTGTTTAATAACAGGGACACAGGATTTATAATATTGTCATTAAGAGAACTGAGTGTGACAGTGCCAGCCAGTACACAATGCAGGAGGGATCTAACCATCTCTTAAGCTTTGACCTCCAAATTGGGATAGGACACACACACACACAAAGCTTAGGCAACAAAGGGGGCAAAGAGGGTTTTTTCTCTTAAAAAGAATATTAATGGGATTACAATGGAGATGAAAAAAAAATGTGCAAAATGATGTAAAAATAAACTTTAAAAAAAAAAGAATATTAATGGGAATCGTTGCCATTACTTTCCATATCTATCAGGAAGAAAACGGTCAGCTTAATGTCAGTTCTCTAAAACTCAATTCGAGTCCTCCCTCCCTCCCTCCCTTGATTCCCTCCTTCCTTCCTTCCCTCTCTCCCCCCTCCCTTTTTTCCATCTTTACATCCATCAGCACATCCATATTTCATCTTTCCATCCGTTCATCCATCCATCCATCCATCCATCCATCCATCCACCCATCTATCCATCCATCCATCTATCCATCCAACAATTATTTGAGAGGACTGGAGTTGATTGTATGAGGAGATCCAGGGATGTAACAGAATGTTTAAAGAGACACAGTTACACAAATTACAGTGACTGAATATTAAGGTATCTATAGAGAAATAACGCTAAAAGATGTAATGGGGTCACGAGGAACTTGACAGGGAGAGTTTCACCTTTCATGGCAGGCAAAGGATGATTTTGAAATGGTTTTGAGCAACAAAGTGATAGGATAAGGGAAAAGGAGGGAAGGGAATATTCAAAATTAAAAGACTTTTAAGACATATAAAGCAGAAGTAACTGATGGAAGTCTAGTTTAAGCAATTAGTTATAAATACATTCAGATGGGAAAATTTGAATAAGGACAAGACAGTGTATATTACTAGGGAAAGTCTTATCAGTTACTAGATATAATAATTATGTTGTGATTGTGCCTGGAGGCTTTTTTTTTTCAAAAATACCCACAGAAGTGCTTGATATGAAATGTGTGCATGTAATCAGAAGATGGAAATATAATAAAATATTAATATTAAAACACATACTAAGTTAATAATAAATCCTATTAAAATATAAAACATGAACATTAAAGCAATGAAAATATGGGTATTAACTATATCATTCTGTATGTTTGAAATTTTTCACATAAAAAGTAAATTTCGGCCCTCCCTGGTGGTGCAGCAGGTTAAAGTGCAGCACTGCAAGTTGGCCGCAGCCACTTTCAGTGTGAGTTGGATCCTCAGCCTTGGAGGTGATTAAGATGGCATGGCAGACCTCTCCTGACCAGCCCGCTGCTCCCCTCAGCAGTGTACTTCGTCAGTCAGCCTACTCTGCTCCCCACTCTGTCTCTGGTGAATCCTCTCAGCACCCCTGTGCCTCTGGCCTGTACCCTAGTTCTGTATGAATAAATAAATGTTTAAAAAACAAAACAAACAAACAAAAAAATCCTGACCTAAAATGTTATCAGAATAAACTAAATATTTTTTTAAAAAGGTAAATTTCATAAGCTTTATGTAAGTCAGGTATAAGGTAAACCAAGGGTGAAATACTGAAAGTTGAGACTAGTTCAGTCATTTTTGTCCTCAGGTCAAGAGTAATGAGGCCCTCACCCAGGTGACTGTGGAAGGAAGAGGAGAAGAATATGAACACCAGAAAGGAAGGAGTAGGGGGTGGGACAAATAATTAGCCTTGATAGGTGAAGGAGAGAAAAAGAAGACTCCCACAAGGTTGGCCTAGTATGGGAAGATTATGGTGGAGTTATGGCTCTCAGGTGGATTTAAGTTCTGGGGGAAAATGGATGTGTTCCATTACTGACATTTTGACTTTAAGCAGTCAGCAAGACATGAGGTGGAAAGAGAACAGTAGTTGTTTGGAAAGTTTGGCTACCTTAGGAAGTATCAGGCAGTGGTATGGGTTTGAGAAAGTATTTGTATTAGTTGAAAAACACACACACACACACACACACACACACACAAAATGATCACAAGGTACATATGGAGGAAAAAAGAGAGGCCTAGCAAGATTAGACTTTCAGCTGACATCTGAACTTTTGGGCAAGGCAAGAACCATTTGTGAAAGACATAAGAAAATGAGTAGCCAGAGACACAGACAACCAGAACAATGTTGTGGGGCCCAGGAAGCAAGAGCAAGCGGAGTCTGAACAGCACAGTCCTGTTTGAAGTCAGAGAAAATGGGGAGCAGTAATGGCCAAATCTGGTTATTGGTCAGTCACTGAAAACTTTAGAATGGTTAGAGTCAAATATAGCGCAGATTCTAGGGCGTTAAAGAATGTCTGATGGTGAGGAAATAGTAGCTAACATCAAGTGAGGACCTGGCACCCACTTGCCCTGTTTTGCTTCATTTCATTCACACAATAATCCTATGGAGAAACCTAGGCACCGTCTCAGAGCCTTGTCCGAGGACACACAGCTAGGAGACAGGTAGGATTTCAACTTAGACCTTCCTCATGAACAGTAGTCCCTACTTGAGTCAGGAGAGAAAAATCAAGAAAAGGAAAGGGAGGGCAAAAAAGGAAAGACCTGACTTCTCTCCTAGCGTTGAGAAACAGTGAGGACAGGAGAAAGGGAGAGAGCAAAGAACAGAAAAGATGAGCCAGAGCGGGAGGTAAGTGGGAAAGCTTATGAAAGGTCTTGGCCAAGCGGGGAAGAGGTCACATGTAGAAAGTGACAAGTCTGAGAGTGAGATGGGAATCGAGGACTGAGGAGAGAGGGTGAAGGATGACTCTCTGGCTCTGAAGACACTAGTGTGGCTGTGCTACCAGACCAAAAAGCCTGTCCTCTCAGTACCTGGCCACACACATGGATCAGAGCTGAATAAGGAGACTCAGCTGCAACAAGCAACTCAGGGACCAAATGTGGTTCTAAACAGACACTTCCGATGAGCAGACACAGATAAGCAGGCTCAGGACACAGGATTCCTTTGAGTCTGGTTGGACGCCCTCTTGAAAAAACTACCGCAAGAAAATCTTTCTTTCTTTTATGATCAGCCAGAGACTGGTCTCATACAAGGTTTGGAATTTGCAAAGGTCATGACATAAGGATAGATAGTAGCTCACACTGCTTCTCTCCTTGGTCAATAGTGTCAAAATAACCAAGAAGTGGAGTTTTTCGGTGTCTAGGGGAGACTAGACAAATGAGTTCATGATTCTCATTTTTAAGAGCACAGAAACGACACTGAATTTTACTACAAAGAAGGTATTTTGAGAGAGCATTCTAATTACACTGAAGTTCCAATTGGCACCAGAACATACTTCCCTCTAACAGCTAAGACCACAAAATAATACTATGTTAACATTATTTTTGCAGTAACTCAAGTGTGGGCTGGTGTTTATGTTTATCTACAAAAGAATCTGGAGACTTACTCTGACAAAATTTTTGTCACACGAAAAGACACACCACACAACAAATTTCTAGATACAAAATGTTCACATTTTTCACTTACTGTCATTGTTAGAGCCCGTTTCCATAACACCATAAGGAGGAGCCAGAAGTCCTGCCATGTACTGTCGGTATTTCTGAAAGACAAGATTGTAAACTCAACACATAGATATTTACTCACTTTGAACGTTCATTTATTGACACGTTAAAAAGCAGAAATGTTAGGTGTCAGGAAGCATCTGAATCTGGTATTTATAGTGCCATGGAACGTGCTGTCTGGGGCCTAGGCTCTGACATAAAGATGCTAAGTTCTGGGAGGTTTTCCTGGGGAGACTGAATGTGCCTCACCCAGGGAGGGGCCGTTATTAGCTCAGCCAGTGAGTTTCTGCATCGTGGCTGATTCACCCGCTTGCAGGGGCTTTGCCCTTCTCACTCCTGTGAACACATGCTCACGGGAAAGACGTTTGGTTTTTAAGGATGCAGAGACAAACGAATGTGCTGCCTTCTTAATAGGTGAATGGCACTGAATCAGATTTCTTTCAAAGCAAATAGAAATGCATCTCCAGGAAAATGTCTCTTCTGAAAGAAGCTGATTTGCCTCCATTTAAGTACTTTCCTTTTAGACCGTACACCTGCCTGATATGTGACCCTGCCAAGGAACTTTTGCTATATTGTCAGATAAAATAGTTTGGTACCATGTAGAACTACTTGGATTCCCCTGGATTATATCCCCTGACTTGTCAGAGACGCCTGCTTTACAGCCTATGTTTCAGCAATATATATTAGCCCCTGGAGTCTGTGCTGTTTTAATGATGTAAGTTTTGGGGAGCATAAAGCCACCAAGAGCATCTAGCAAGGGAACAGCGAAGTTTGTGAAGAATGGAAAATGAATCTTAGATGTGCTCTTTTCTCAGGTAATAAAGACTGCCGTCTCTCCTTTCAGAATGAAAGCTGGGCAATTTTGTTTATTGCATGGTGTCATGTATATTTATGGTTTATAATGATGATGACTCATAAATGTTAAACAGCATCAAAAGAATCAACACTCTAGAATGCGCTTGTGGGTTACACAAACGTCAGCAGAAAGGCTTCATCTGTAGCAATGGGCAGCTGGCGGCTGGCGGTAAGCGGCACTGGAGCGGCATCTGGCCCATTTGGTAGATTTGAATGGCGTTTGTAACGTGACACTGATGGCTTCTCAAAAGAGCCTTCTTCTAGTGAAGATGTGACTAGCTTTTTATTTCATCCTTTTTCTTCACATTCTGTGGCAACTATGCTAACACCTGCACACACATTAACACTCATGATTTTTCTCTGCCTGAGTTCACTAATCACTCAAACCTCCCCAGCGACCAATTCATGGCCTCAACTTCCCAATTCAGAGCCTCTTTTTCCTTTTGATACCATCTACAATTCTTTTTCATGAGAGAACATGGATTAAACATGGTTCTGGGCAGCATATTATAATGAACTCTGTACAAAATAGGCTCAGAGAGAGCAAACAGACTGGGTTATGGTCTAAGGAGGTTCTGTGCCACCCCCCACCCCCCGCCATACATTTTGAGTTATTCCTCCTACCGTGAGCCACTCCTGAACAGGCTCCCAAAATGATAATTTCGGTTAAGTTATAGGTGCACTTTTACTTTGCTCAGAAATGTTGTTCTGCATGCCATGGATGTCCTTTGTCTCAGCACTTCAATGTCAGTTCCCATGAATGCCACAGAAACGCCTTCTTGACCCCTAAATGAATGGAACCCCACCTTCCTCACTCACTTGTGGAGCACGTCACCAGGGCCACTGCTCTGTGAACAGAAAATAGAGCGGCCCTTTGCAGTTGCAGAGTGTGGCTGGGTTTTCAGTAGGAAGTGAGCACTTACTACGTGTAGACTGTCCTGGGCACGGAGCTAACTACAGAATACAAACAGACAAGGCCGCTGGCATTTGTGAAGCACCTAGTTCCTGCTGTAGAGGATACCACAGCTTCCGGATAATAAAAGCCTAATACTTACCTGTAGAAATTTAGAACTTTTATGGCAACTTTCAAACATAGATAAAAATAAGTTACCACATATATAACATCCAGCTTTAATTATCACACTCATGTTTCATCTATACTCCTAGCCCACTTGCCTCTTCCAGAATTATTTTGAAGCAAATCCAAGATATCATATCATTTAATCCATAAACATTTCAGTAGGAATCTCTAAAAGAAAAGGACTCTCCCCCCGCAATCATAATGCCACTATCACAGCTAAAAAAATAACAACCCCTTCATGATGTCCACTCCGTGTTGAAATTTCTTACTGTTTCATAAATATCATTGCTGAATTGAATTTAAAACATATTTTATTTAATAAAACAACACTGGCTCCAATAAAACAGTTTTGGTATAATGAAGAATCCAAAAACAGGTTTGAAATATTTGTACCTATAAATGAAAAGTCAACTTTTTAAAAGTGATGGGGCACTTTTTAGTAAACATTCACCGGAAATTGATCTATGTCACACCTATAGAATATATTTTAGTGACTAGGATAAACACAGCTAGCTGGAATAAAAGCTAGATCCCAGAACATTAATTCTCAATAACTTAATCAGAAAATTGGGATTCCTAAATTATTTGCATCTTGCTTGATCTTGGGCAGCAATTTCATCACCCAAGCACAAGTAATGAATAGTCTACAAATGAATGTATCATATGAAAAGATTCTGAACCTTACTCATGACAGAAAGACACACTAAAACTATACTACAATGTCATTTTTTAACTTATCAGACTTGGCAAAGTTTCAAAAATTTGCTAACACTATTGATGAGAATGGGGGAAACAGGTGCTCACTTATATTGCAATTATGGATAGAATTCCTCTCAGTGGAAGGCAATTTGGAAGTATTTATAACATTCTAAAGTGCTTATAACTTTTGACTGAGCAAGAACAGATCTATAGACAGCAGAAATAATACCTGCATACATAGGCAAACACCTACCTATTTGCACTAGCAAGTAAAACAACAACACAACAAACTAGAAATAGCCCAAATGTCCATATCCAAAGAACATCTATGTTACTTCTAATAAATACATGATGATGGATTATTTTCCAGTAACATAGAGGCTATTGGGATATTATGTAACCCAGAAAAATCAGCACCGCAAAAAAAATTTTTTTTAAAAGAAACAACAGCACTGTATATGTAGTATGCTACCACTTTCTGGGGATAAATGTACAGACTATCCTGGGGGTGTCACAAGAATATTGTAACAAGGACTGTCCTTGAGAAAGAGATCTGAGTGGCTGAGGGCAAGTGGAAGGAAGACGTATTTTCACTGTTTACACTTAGCTGAGCCAAAACTGAAGCAGTGGGACCACTGTGTGTAACAACAGCCCGAGGGTGGCCTGGTGGACTTGTGAGCCATCACATTCATCAGCACTCACCAGGGTGCAGGACACTAGACTGTAAGAGATAATGGCAGCAGTAGAGTAAGCCAACAGTACATCTCTCTTAGATCAACATGTGGAAATGGGAGTACATTTCTTGGACTATAAAATCCTCAAGAGGTGGGTGAATTAAACACTGGGCTTCTTGTAACTGGGTGTATTGGTGCTTAAGTAATAATGGAAAAATAAGAGAGAGATGATTATCTTAATAAACCTAGATTTAGAGTCATTCATATCTTCATGGACATTAAAAGCTACTTCAGCCTTTATGAGAAACAAATAAACCTAAAGGGAGTTGGCCAAGGTTGTAATGTAAATGAACACAGGTCAACTAAACCTGATGTCCACAATTTTTCAGAGGTGATCCAGCACATCTCTGTAGTGGTTACTCAATGTGACCTCTCACACACTGCCCACACCACAGCTTCTGGGGTGTAAGCAATGGCCTGGCTGAGTCCCTTGACAGTGTCCTCTTTGGGCTTAGTGATCTCTTCCTGCCAAACCATTTCTGGGATTCCAGAACACTTTATTGCCCTAAATATGGCCTCATTCAATCATTTGTAAATCACCAGGAGCACTTGGAAAAGAGCTAAGCCTGTAAGTAGTACAACAGCAGCAAGGCCAATCATGGCTTGAAGACTTTGCCCTGAATCAGTACTCTGAGGGAAGAGGGAAGATGGGTTCCAAAGCCTGCACTCTGGCTGTCCTGGGGTGTACTGTGAGAAGATTCAGGAAGGCTGGGCTCTCTCTGTTATAGAAGCATTCTGTTTCTGTCAAGAGAAGGTTCACAGAGATCTTTTGGTGTGTTCATTTTGGAAGGGGTGGGAGAAAAGTGGGAGGCACAGTAGACCCTGGGTCGGGATTAGCCAATCTTGGACAGCCACAGAACCAGTCTTATTCAATGACACTCTCCTAGAGACACTCCCAAACCCTGGAAGGTGCTGGCTGGAGGACTCAATATTTCTGCTCTCTGTCCCTCCAGGGCTGCTGAAGGCAATTAGGAAATAACTTTAAATGACAAGACAATCATGGGGGCCTTCAAGGGTTTTAGAAGACTTTGGTAGCCTTTGGTAAACTCACACCTCACACAAATACTCAGCTCTCTGGCTTTAGTCTCCTCATCCATACAATGGGTGCTGTGATTTAGATCCAAGTTTTCTTTTCTTTTTTTTTTTTTAAGGTTTATTTATTTATGCATACAGAACTGGGGTACAGGCCAGAGGTGAGGTGAGAGTATTCACCAGAGACAGAGTGGGGAGCAGAACAAGCAGATTGATGAAGTACACTGCTGAGGGGAACAGCGGACAAGACAGGAGAGGTCTGCTGCGCCATGTGGGTCACCTCCCTGTTTTAAAACCTTGTTCTGCAGAACTCTGAGCTCTTTGGAGAATTCTTCTTAGAGAACCACATAAGCAAACCCTCAACCCCTATGGCAACTAGAGCATCTTCACTTTTATCTGTTAGATAAACTACAGTTCCAAAGCCAGTATCATCTGAAAGATGACTTTTGCTTCTAAAAAATAAAATTTTACAAAACACAAGATTAAATAATTCTGTGCTTGCCACCAAGCAGCTGTCACTCAAATCTCTCCATGAAGCATCAAGAAAGACCAAGTTAGGCTTTGTCTAGGAAATGTTAAGTTTCTGCTCTCTGTTGGAAGACCTCTTCCAATGTGAAGTCCTCTGTTGGAAGACTTC